CTCCAGGCTCTTAGCTTTTTATGTAAAGCCCTTTCTTGGTGATATTCCACAAAGTTTACCCATAGGACTTACCGCTTCACAGAGCTAATATCAGATTCAATAACCTTTCATTATTTTTAATAATCATGCATTTTTGTTGGATCAAATTTAGGAAGACATCTTAATATACTGAAGGAACAGTTAACATTTGTTGCAGGGGTGGGTTTCAACCGGTTCGCGGCGGTCCCTGCGAACCGGTTGGTCGGCGAACCCGGAAGTAAGTAACTTCCGGGAACGGCGAAGGGGGCACCCACATGCCCGCCCGCGCTCCTTACCCAGTTTTATGAGTTCTGCGCTTCCATGCATGCGCAGGACACATACAGCGCCTGCGCGATCCTCCAGGAGCAGCTGGAGCATCGCACAGACGTTAGTATGCATGCGTGAGCTACGCGCGTGCACGCGCACGTCACACGCGTGCACGAGGACGCCGCCGGCCCCGTTCCAACCGAACCGGTTGGAACGGGGCGAGAAACCCACCCCTGATTTGTTGCCAGTTTTTTTTAAAAAAATATCTTTACTTTTTAGTTTTAACTGTAAGGGACCACAGAATAAATTTTACACTAGTTGACTTGTTGATGTTTTTATGTTTACATTTTAAATCTTGCTCCTTTGAATTTTTTTTTAAGATAACTGTATGCTATAAATATAATTGAGAGTTTAAAAGGAGGAGGAGGAAGGTGGGTATGTTTGCCGTCTTGAGTTATTTGTAAGTAGCAATAGCACTTAGACTTATATACCACTTTATAGTCCTTTACAGCCCTCTCTAAGCAGTTTAAAGAGTCAACTTATTGCCACCAACAATTTGGGTCACTTTACCAAGATGGATGGAAGGCTGAGTCAACCTTGACGTGGCGAGGATTGAACCCCTGGCAATCAGCCTCACTGTCGGAGTCTGGTGGCAGCTCCAACGGCTCCTGTTGGGCCACAACACATATATGTATATGCACACACTTATATAGTTGTATAAAATATGGATCTGATCTAATGCCTTGATTGGTAGCTAATTTGTTGGAAATGTTTTGTTTAGGAAAACGTCGGTAAGCATGAATGGCGGAAATCTTCTTCCCAAATTGCCTTCCAAGAAAGATTACATTTCCATAACCATATTTCATCTTTACTCTCCTTTGATCACAGGATTAGCATCTGGAATACAGATTTTATGCAAATGTTGCTAGTTGCTAATATAAATTATTCCCAAACTAGATGAAAATCAGTTTCTTGAAAATGTAAACGTTATGTTAGGAGGAACTGGCTGTGATCAAATTGACCCTCTTCTTATTTTCTCGTAAGAGCAGAGTTAGGCTTCACCTTTGGTCGAAAAAGGCTATCATGTTTTAGAATCCTGGCCGTTTGATCCTAATCTGCAAGGAAACATTTCCATGATGATGAAAAGACATTTTGCAAAGATTCTTTATGATCACTTTCATTGTTTCCCCCTTTCACATTCCTGAACCTGTTTCTAGTATGAAAACAAGCTGTAGCCAGGGCCCTAAGGAGGGAGCCTTAGCGTAGATTAAACTATAATCTTTTACGTGCTAACAAATCTTTCATATTATGTTTCAGGAATTGCTTACAAGTGGATTTCCTGAGTTTGTTAAAATAGTGGAAGTTGGTCCAAGAGATGGATTACAGAATGAAAAGGTATGTTAACAATGGGGATAGCGAGCCTTTGAGGAAGACAATACTGTATTAATTAAGCCCAGATATTCGATCGTGCCATTAAAAGTTTACAACAATATAGAAAAGGCCCCAGAGTTTAGGTCTTGATCCCCCTCTTTTGTGATGTTTTAAAATGTAAGGTTAATTAATAACTTGGTGTAAGCATTTTCTTAGTACTTATTGTAGTAATGTCCTAGCTGTTGCAATAGTATTGTCTTCAAAAACTTTCCTCTTTAAAATATCAACAAAATATGACTATAACAAAAGGAGAAGCACTGAACATTGTTTCATCTCATTCAAGTGATTATATATTTTTTTTAATCGTGTCAGTATTTTTAGTATTTTAGTATTTAGTATTTTATTGTCACTTATAGGCCGCCCTTTTCCCTGAGGGGACTCAGGGCGGCTTACAACTNACATGCTTTCGAACTGCGAGGTTGGTAGAAGCTGGCACTAGGGATTCGAACTGCTGACCTTTATAATCGACAAGCTCAGCGTCTTAGCCACAGAGCCACCACGTCCCATTAAGAATCTCTCTTTAGCATTTTTTAATAGTATAATGACTAAATGTGACTCTGATCGGGTGGTATTTTAAGGAAAAGAAAATTGCCACGCTGCTATTAAAATTGTGTCCATAAGGGGGCTCTCTCAAGAATTAAATTAGTGCATCAGCTTAACAGCCGAAAATTGACAGTAATTAATTGGCATTCATTACACCATCAGATTATCATTATTGTCTCTTAAATAGCAAAATTAATCCTAAAACAACAGCTGCCCTGAATGTATTTTCCATCCTTGTGATATTGCTTCCCCCCAAAAAACTATTTCAAGGTTCTGCCACTTTATATGTAGTCATAATATGTTCATTTGTCAACATTTTGGTCTTAGTACTGCAGCAACCTAGCACCAGGTAGGTCCCCAAATAATTTTAATTTAATTATGATCTAGTGTTGAAGACATTCTTGCAGCCCATTTTCCTAAGGTACATTTGTCCCATTAAAATAATGGTTCACATATGCTACTGAATACAATATTCATAATTACCGTAGATTTTTGCAAAACAGAGGTTGCTGAATTCTAACCAGCACTGACAAGATGGCTGAGAGGGCGATGGAGGAGGAGAGGGGGAGGCTGGGAGTTGTAATTCAAGTCCAACAACATCTGGGATCTCTCTTCCATTCGTGTTGGAGATTGGGAGAAGAGAATGCTTATGCTGATATATTTATAAAAAGTCATTTTTTCCCCTGCAGAATTTTAAAGTATGTACCTTTCTATACCGTTCAGCTTGTGACGATGCTTTCTAGACATCAGTAACCCACCTCCCCAGGCAGCCTGGAAAAGATGGGAAAAATGGGTAAACTTTGGGAATTGAATTGGGAACTTGAAATATTTTTTAAAGATACCTAATTTCAGCAGAAAACTCACTGTAATATTTCTCCCTAAAGAAGGAATGGTGGACCTATTTTCCACAATCTTAGCCATGCAATAATTCGCAGAGCAATGTAATAATTTATTTGCATTATAATGCACTAATCAATATATCACTACTCAAAAGCCTAGCTTAGTGATGGCGAACCTTTTTCTTATGGCGTGCCACAATTGTGTGTGTGTGCACCAGGGGTGGGTTTCAACCAGTTCGCGGCGGTCCCTGCGAACCGGTTGGTCGGCGAACCCGGAA